CGCTGTGCAGGGGGGGGGCGCGCATGCGAGTGCAGCCGCTGGTGCCTTCGGTAGAGCCCCCTTATGAGGCCACGAAGCGCTGTGCTGGGTGGGGGGGGGCCGCATGCGAGTGCAGTCAGTGGGGCCTTCGGTGGTGTTCCCTGCGGTGGAGCTCGGTATGGGGCCACGAAACGCTGTGCTGGGTGGGGGAACCGCATGCGAGTGCAACCACTGATGCATTTGGAGAAGCCCCATGTGGGGCCACGAAGCGCCGTGCTGGGGTGGGAGCCGCATGCGAAAGCAGCCACTAGGGACACTCGCGAAGAACTCCCTATGGGGCCACGAAGCGCTGTACTGGGCGGGGGAGCCACATGCGAGTGCAGCCACTGGGGCCTTCGGAAAAGATCCCTATGGGCCACGGGGCGCTGTACGGGGGCGGGGGAACCGCATGCCAGTGCAGCCACTGGGGCCTTTTCTGGTGGAGCTCCCCATGGGGCGACGAAGCGCTGCACGGGGGGGCGTGAGCGGGAACCGCATGCGAGTGCAGCCACTGGGGCCTTCGGAGGGGCTCCCTATGTCGCCACGAAACTTGTTCTGGAGGGGGGAGCCGCATGCGAGTGCAGCCAGTGGGGCCTTCGGAAAAGATCCCTATGGAGCAGCCACTGTGGCCGTCGGAGCTCCCCATGGGGTCACAAAGCGCTGTACTTGGGGGGGGGGACCGCATGCGAGTGCAGCCACTGGAGCCTTCGGGAGAGCTCCCTTTGGGGCCACGAAGCGCTGTGCTGGCGCGGGGGAATCGCATGCGAGTGCAGCCACTGGGGCCTCCAGAGGAGCTCCCTAAGGGGTCGCGAAGCTCTGTGCTGGATTGTGGCGGACGCATGCGGGCACAGCCGCTGAGGCATTTGGTAGAGCTCCCTATGGGACCACGAAGCGCTGTGCTGAGTGTGGGAATCGCATACTGAGGGGAGGGGGGCATAGGCAAGGAAAGGGAGGGAGGAGGGGGAGGAGGAGGGTGGGAGGTGACGCGGGGCGCTGTCTCTTCAAAACGAGGACCCAAAACCACCACATGTTTAGGAGCACATGCGAAACAATCAAAAGAAATACAAAGCATGGCGAAGCGATCCACGGCAATCCGCCGGCCCCCTCGTGGGGCCACCAGGCTGTAGGCCGGAGGTTCGCAGTTTCCTGTACCAGTTGCAGCTTCCAGTTTCCACTGTTACAGTTCTGCTTGTTGCTGCTTACTGTTCTTGTTGACTTCTTGCTGCTTACTGTTCCTTGTGATGGACCGCGCGAGGGGGAGAGGCCCAAAACGGGCATTCTTCTACCACGCCCAAATCGTATTGTCTGAATTGCTGGGGTGGGTAAAAAAAACACCCCTCACGCAGTTCGGCGGGGTCAGGGTCCAAAAACACAGGGGACTTGCCACATGTCTGACATTCGGCGGCACCCCTCACGCAGATCGGCAGGGTCAGAGTCCAAACACACAGGGGATGTGCCACATTTCTGAAATGCGGCGGCACCCCTCACGCAGATCCGTAGGGTCAGGGTCCAAAAAACACAGGGGATTTGCCACATGTCTGAAATTCGGCGGCACCCCTCACGCAGATCCGTAGTGTCATGGTCGAAAAAAACAAACAGGTCCCGACACTGCTTCACGGCGAAGCCAAAGCCTCATGACTTCGCTCTTGCATGGCCCATTCTCCGAGAGAGGGGGCCAGCGGCAGGGGGCGAAGCCCTTACGGATAAACAGCAATAGCAACGCAAAGCAATACAAAACAATGCACAGGAATGCGATGCAGAGCAATGCAACGCAATGCAAAAGCAATAGCCATGCACATCAAGACACAGCAATGCAGAGCAGAGCAACACAATGCAAAAGTAGGCGGCGGCGACCGGGCAACGACGGGCGGCCACAAGCCAGCCGGACCGCCAAACAGACCCAATGGCCCAAACGGGCGGCGACGACGGGCGGCGACCAGCCGGACGGACCGCCAGGCAGGCCCAGCTTATTAGAAGAGGAATAAGAAACCCCGAAGTGCAAACACTGTTTAGGGAAAAAGGGCAACGCAAACGCGCCATCTACTGTCCCACCCCGTTCCACCCCAATCGTATGTTCGGTCACCGTTGCGGGTTGGTTTAATCGCATAACTGCGAGCGGTTAGTTGCCAGACACGCGAAGCGGAACGCAAAAAAGAGGTATGATGCATTTTGTTATGTGTGACTGGAGTGCGCCCACGGAGCGCACCACAATAGCCTGGGGAACAAACGGCCGAAGCCAAGCTGGGGAGGAGCACCGGGGAAATTGACGCCATGGGTTACGGATGTCTCACCCGTACGGGATGGATGCTGCCGCGTTCTGGCCCACGGCGTGCGCGTGTTCGTCCGGCACCTGAACCTGCGCGCGCCCCGGCGGTACGCGTCGCCATTTTGCGGCAACTCTCCTCAGCGGTGGGCGTTCTTCCCTCAATCAGTACTCGAGCGGGGCCACCACAAGAAGCAACATGGTAAAGCGCTGGTCACGTCAAGAAGTGCAGAACATCATTCCAGCCAATGGTTCGAGGCGGCAGGCGACACCATAGCCACAGCTCGTCCTCCTGCGATTGAGGTTCTGGTGCAGCGTGGGCATTGTGTTCGGATCGCGGCAAAATTCAATTCAACTCCGACAAACGTGACGGAATGGTTCCTCCTTGGTACCCTGCATCGGCACATCATTATCACCGAAGCCAACGGAAACCTGGCACAGCAGGAAGCAGTCCTCCTCATTGAGAATCCAAAAACCTTCACCAACTCGAGCGGTGCGACTCGACGTACGCTTCGCCGCGTCTTCTCCGTTGCACTGAAGCGCGAGTGTGACCGGAATGACATGGTCTTGCAATTGCCCCCCCCACCCAGCGCGGGGCGGAGTCCAGAAAATGTCCCAAGAAGAATAACCCTTCCCATCGTCCTCTCCGTGAATTACAACATTGAGATGTTCCTGATCAGCTTTCCGTTGAAGGGAAAGTCTGGATCTTTCCACAACAACATCGCCATCGCGCCCGAAGCAACGATTCCCGGCCTTCTCGGCCTGATGATCCTTCGTCTGCTCGTCTGGGGGTTGCAGTCCGAAGAACTCTTTACTTGTTCAAGGCCCCTCTGCCTGCCTGCGCAAACATCATCGCCGATGGTGGTCTCAAAGACTCGGTCGGGCCGTGCGTCCGAATGGAACGCCAACGTTCACGCCAGCGCGCTACATGCGCGCAGCCCTGTGCTGGCCTCCGCGGTCGCCCCATGCTGTATCGACGAACCGGACGCCTCATTTGAGCCGACGCTGGGGGAGCCTACGCACCTGATACTGACGTCTTGGAATAATAGATTGCCTGGGAATTGTTATCAGAATTTACGCCGACACTGTTGGCGTGTTTGAGGGGCTTGGCTATTCGAGTCATCGTCTCCGTCAGTCGTCTCCGTCGTCCCCTTTCCCCTGCACCCTCCTCCTCAAGCTTGTCAGCGAGAGAAACATCTAGCAATGTCGTAACCGAGTCGAAGAGGAGCCCCTTCCTTTTGACCCCTTTCCCGCGCCAGAGGGGGGGGCATCCCAGAGGGGGTCGCCACCCAGATGCGCTTCCCCCCCGAGGGCCCTGGGGCCTCAGAAAGTACCACAACAGGCCAAGAGTGTCCCAAGAGGCCGCCGAGACGGTCCAAGAGGGTCCCTAATCGCCAAACGATTGGTCCAACACGCCTTCACGCCCTACAGACTGCCCAGCAGGCCTCTAGGACGCCCCAAGACGCCTCCAAGAGCACTCCCGAGGGGGCTCCAAAATGCCATATTCATTAATTTCTCGCTGGTTGTTGTGAGGTTTTGGCGTTCTCGCCTTGTCCACTTCCCGCCGCTCCAAAAGCGCGCCAGAGGCCACCAAGATTTTCCCAAGACGGCCCAAGAGGCCTCCAGGAAGGCCTTCAAACAGCCCCAGAGGACCCCAAGACAGCCCAAAACGCCTCCAGGACGGCCCCAGATGCCCCCAAGACGGCTCTCAGAGCGTGCCCAGACGGGGGACCCGAACGGACATTTGGAGCCCTCGGCCCCAAGAGGCTCCCAGGAGGCCCCTAGAGGTTCCCCAGAGGCCCCAAAAGGCATACAAAAGGTCCCCAGGAAGCCCGAAGAGGCCCCAAAGAGGCTCCCAAGACGCCCCCAAGAGGCTCCCAAGAGGCCCCAAGATTCCTCCCAAAGGATGCCCCCGAGAGACGAGAGACTTCCGAAGAGACCCCAAGAACCATCCCTGAGGACTCTGGCCCACGTCAGCGTCGCCGTCGTTGCCGCCGCCGCCGCCGCCGCCGTCGTCGTCGTCGTCGTCGTCGTCGTCGTCGTCGTCGTCGTCGTCGTCGTCGTCAGTGCCGTCGTCCTGGTCGTCGTCGTCTCCCTTCAGGGTCGGCGGCACTGGCCGTAAGGCCTTCGCAATAGATTGCCTGGGAATTGTTATCACCATCTGCTACTTCGGTGGAACTGTACTTATTAGCATGTGACACTTGTGCACGGTACCCTCCTGCAAATGGGAGGCGGAATCGTCCTCAAGCCAGTCGGCCGCCCGCTGGTTCACCTTCTGTTTGTGAAACCGGACTTCCGCCTCCCCCTTGTCCGACACAGTGCCCTTCGAGTCAGAGCCCGCAGCCAGGGACCACGGGTTCCCGGAGAGGAGGCCAAACGCCGAAACCCCGGCTGCAGCGAGAGCGGAAAGGCCCTCTGATGTCCACCACAGCCGAGCCAGGAAAGAAACAGCGTGACGAGGAGTGGGGGAAATCACTAGGTCTCTTGGCACGGCTCAGCTCACGAGCTGTGGCACTTCGCAGCGCCTGAACTCTGAGTCTTGCAACGGACAAGCGGCGGTCGGCGCGGGTGCCGAACGATCCTGCCGCACGCTGCGCGTCAGCAGGAGGGAACCGAGGAAACAGGAGAACAGGGAGGGGAGGGGCGAAAAGCCAGGACGAGGAGAAAAGCTCGACCGCACAGGGACGAGCGGCGCCGCGCGATGGAGCGGGCGGCGCACAGTTTGGGGGAGCGGTGCCCCACTTCGGCGACGTACCTCGCGTCGTCCTGCGGCGCCGCTGCCGACGGGTGGGGAGGACAGCCAGGGGGGAAGATTCCGAGGAACACATTGCCGGCGCAACGAAGAATGCTGGGTTGGCTGAGGAAAACATGCCAGTGCAACGGGGGGAGGGTGGCTGCAACCTTTCAGGATGCATGGCGGAACTGGTCCAACGAAGGACGCAGGGGTGCCGATCGAAACCTCGTCACCGTCCTTGGGTCTGGTCTTGTCTGCGGTCCTTATCGCCTTCCTCAAGAAGGCGACGTCTGACCATGGAACTCGAGAAAGGGAAAGAGGATCGCTAGGGCGGGGGCGGGCTCAGGGGGGGGGGCCCGGGGGGCATCGAGCTGGAATCGACTATACATCGCCGACAGACCACCGAGAGGCCCCCGATTGCGATCTCGCACGCTCCTCGGCAGGGTCGGGCTATCAGGCGCCTATCGGCGATGAGAGGGCGATATCGGGTCGCTGCGTCCCCCATGCAGGCTGCCCCCCCAACGTTGCCCCTGAGATTCAAGTCCTAACTCGGCCTCCGGCGGCCGTTCGGGACGGCTCGGGCCCCTCCAAGCACGCTCTAGGCGAGGCGCACCCGCATCCCGAAGCTGGGAAACCGCAGAAAACTGGCGAACACATCCGGAAACCTCAAACCTTGGGCCTCTTCGTCCAGTCCCGTCCCCCATGTGAACATATTGGATGTGATTGTCCCTCCCTTGCTGGCGAAATTTATATTCATATACGCTGCGTATTGGTAAATTTGGGAAGGGGCGCCGAAAAGGCCGAAACGCACCGGGTGTGGATAAACATCTGGCCAAAAAGGGCCAAGACTTTATCCATATCACCGACGCCTCGGGTTTCAGGGGAAGGGGGCCCAGAACCTCAAAGTGCAGTGGATGTGGATAAACATCTCGCCCGCATCCCTGGGCCTCGGGGGCTTCTAGAAGCCTGCCAAGACCTCGAAAACCCAACTGCGGGGACATCTGGCGGCCTCCCAGAACCTCTGGATACCCGGACCCTCGGAGGTCAAGAACAAGTCAGCACGACGGGCGGATTTCTCGCATGGAAGACTCCCACTGAGGTGCGCGGAGCGCGCCTGGAGGCGCCGCCGAGGGGGCCCCGCGTCGATCCGAAAAACCAGCGCGGAATTCGGAGGAACAGTGTTTACGCCAACGGTTGTTTCTGATGGTGGCCAACTTCGGGCCCCGGGCATGAAAAACAACCCGGGATGGAAACGTAGGAAACAACCCGTGGGGGACTCTCGTTCTCCGTAAGCATGGGCAGGTGGTCAGGGCCGAAGAAGTCGCCACTGAACCGAGTAAGGCCAGAAAGACAACCAACAACTAGGCACGGGGTTATGCCATATGAGGTCGGTCGCCCACGGAAATACCAGTGCCCCTGAATTCCAGGAACACCTCGCCCTGGGGAGGGGGTCGGAAGCTCCAGGGGAGAGCGCCACACGAAAGCACGACGCCGGATGTTTTGGGGACAACTGCCTCGCGCGCGAAGGGTCGGCGAGGCAAGGCTGCAATAATATATCATATTACAGTCAATCTTCCGGCGTGCGCACCTGCTGCTAGGCGGGGCACGCTGCGACTGACAATCGCACCTCAAGAAGTTTCTCGCCCACCTTGGGTCGAGGGCCACGGCGCCGAGACAGACATCATACTCCATCTAAGTGGGAAGAGCACATTCACTCCTGAGGTCACGTGGTGCCGCAGCACAATGCCTCCCACAGGCTTAGAATAACAGCACCCCTCGGAAGGTATCAAAGTGGTGAGAAGGGCGACACCGTTCAGCGCGTGGCCGGTCGAGCGCACTGTCCTCCTTCCCAACCTCCCCGAACGCGGGCCGGAGTCGTCTGGCGGGCGGCCCCCGCCTGGAACTGCCGAGGGAGGACGGTCTGGAAGACGCTGAACCCGTTGCTCTATGAGGGTTCGGGGCTTCCAAGGGTATGGCCAGAAGTTCGAAAGCTTCTTTTTTTGTCGCAACAAAGAAAAAGCGGAGACATCACTCGAGGATGGATGGGGCGGATGGCCACGCGATTTCCAAACGCGTCCAGCCGACGACGCCTCTCCTCAAGAGCAGAAACCTTGCGATTCCTTGCATGGGTGACCTTGTCAGGACTTTCTCGCAGAAGCGTAAATAAAAATTCTGGCTGGACCGGCAAATGGCGGTTCAAAACCAAGCTGGCTCTCTCGTCGGCCAACAAGGCCCTCTGAGTAAGGCCCTCAGGGATGTCGGCATGTCGAGAGGCCTTCCCAGCGAACGCATCAGCGGACCAGTTAAATATACATTTCTACACCGCTCCTCACACTGTTCTGAGATTGGACCTGGGCGGGGTGCCCTTTAGTACATCAAACGTAAATCGGCCCCCCGATGACGGCCATAACTGCACTGTAAATATTCCAGAGGTCAACCACTCTGGTCTTCTTATTTGGCCAACAAAGGCTCGCGGGGGCCGCGCGCGACCGACGTGCCGTCGCAATCAGCGCGGGCGCGGCCCGTGCGTCGCCTCGCCAGCTCAATCGCAGCATGCAAATTTGCGCGGACAGCGCTCCGCGCCTTCGTCGGCAAAGCGCCGCTGGCCACGCGATCACAAAATCCGCGCCAACCTCGGCGGGCCACCGCCTGGCCACGTCGCCGCAGACCCTGATCTTTCTCAGCATCTACCCCGCGACCCGTCACAGCTTTCTCAGGCTGAACGCGGGCATCCTGAACCAAGTCTTGGGATTTGGCAATATAACGCTGCCGGAGATGTCCCGGTTTCAAGCGCATGCCCAGAAACGATGGGCCGGGTCTCTGGCGCAACGCCACACCTAGGACAAGGGCCTTTGGCGTAGGACTCGTTGCCCGCCTGAACGAAATTATCCTCGGCCCAGGCATCTCCAGTTGAAACGTGGCAAATCATGCCGGTCGCTGGGTTTGCACTCTTCTTCAAACATCCACCATAAAAATCAAACCCACCGTAAAATCCACTCCTTCCCGTTCTACATCAGCACCTAGTTTGTAATCTGAAGCAGCAGTCCAAGAGAGGTGCCCGCGATCTCGCTGCAGACCATGCCAAAGAGCGCGCGGGAAATCAAAATCAGTGACTGGTAGAGCAGCGCCGCCTTACTGTCTAAAAGACAAGGTTCATCGGGCCAATCATAGCGTCAGGCAAGACGGCGACGGCCGCAACAAACTGGGCCCCGAACTCTCGGCCATCGACGTTTGGCCTCCCGGAGAACAGAGCAGTCATGCGATGTCATCGGGCCCGCTATATCTTGTTTTTTGGGGCGAGGTAACTCATGCCAAGCAGCAGAGGTCGCGAGCTGCTCACATCGGAACCAAAGCTGGGGTCATCTCGAGCGGGGCTGGCCAGGGCCAAAACTGGGGCACAACTCCCAGAGCAGGTCGCAGCCCGCGCGCGCGTCGCACGAATTTGCACGTGGGCGAGCCTGAGGTCCTGGTGGCCGCATGATCCGATGGCCAAGGCCTGGTCCCGATAATACGGATCAGGAAAAAAAACGCGCACGATTTGCTGCCGCCTTGGATGCCTTAACACGTCTTTGTTTACATGAGCTTGACAACGCTGTTTTCCCCGCCGTGGCCATGACCCCCGCATCCCGAGCACGATCCGAGAACATATAGGTAGACCAACAGCAAGAGACCGAACGTGTCATTCACGGCCGAGTTTCACGTCAGTACAGACCACGGTTGATTTTTCAGAGATAGCGCAATTCATCTTTCCCCCCTCATGAACAACATGCATCGCGGCAGGGGCCGAAGTCTTCAAGATCTCCGAAGGCACCCTTGTTGCGGTTTGGGTGGTATCACCACCGTAGCCTTTTCACTCCAACGTGTCCAAACTTGCGTGAGCTGTGCCCAACAGCTCGCAATAATAATGTTGGCCCAGCCACATGCAACCAGTAAGAACACTGCACTGGGGCGCGATGATGTCGGAGACGAAGCCTCCGACTTCAAGCAACCTCCACACACCGTGGGCCAAAACATGTCCTAAGTCTTTAGCGCGCGAAAACCGACGAGCGAAACAGACAAGCCGATGCGCGCCCATGCAATCCAGGAAACAGGCGATGCCCCAGCGTGCACCGACAGAGGATTAGACTTGAAGCCTGGGCGTTTCATGTCCAACCTCTCTGAGCAAAGCCGCATGCAGAGCATTGGGGCCTCTCGTGGCAGCAACCCGAACAAAATCTTCGAGGTCCACTCGTCAAGGTGGTAGCCCCGAACTCTACAGTGCACGCGGTAGAGCGTCGGGCATTGCACTGTGGGCCCATCACGAGTAGCACTCTTGGAGATGAGGGCACTCGCCCCGAGGAAATTTCGGGGGGGTGGGGCACGCGCGGCCTTGGTCGCGCGGATTGGGGGTAGCAGCGGGGCCCGGAACAGCTGCAGCGGCAAATTCAGGATGGACCTCGGGTGCCAGCGACCAGCTCCAGCGGAGGTTGGCGCAGAGGGACAGCGGGCAGCACGGCGCGCACCCCCTACCTCAATCGGGTCGAGAAGGTCGGCCGCAGGAAGGGCCTGCGGCCGAAGGGGGCCCAAAGAGAGTTTCACGGAACCCTGGGTCCAAATGCAAGACCTCCTGCCAGTGCCGTTCACGGTGCGTCGTCATATCTGAAGGGAACCGTCTAATGTGGAACGGGGTCACTAAGACTTCAGGGGCTTCACCAAGACCGCATTTCAACCAAGCATGGGCCCTCTGCGAACCTTTGGGCAACACCGTGAGGAACCAGTTCTTCACGCGGGCTTGAGAGGTCGCCTTAGCCTCGCCCCGGGCAGATGCAGAGAGTGGCAGAGCAGCGGCCGACAGATCGTCCATCGCACAAGACTCGGCGGGCGGGCTGCTAAGCTGAGCCTGCCGCCAGTCGCTGCCTCGGACGTCGTCGGGCAGAAAGAAACCAGGGGCACCGCCAGGCACAGACGGCAGCCCCAGAACTCGCGTGATAGATAGGCCCAAACGGCAAGCCGAGGCGGGCGAACACACTGCCCAGGGCCCACCCAGCGCTCGAATGTTGTTCCCCCGAAATTTGAAGAAGCCACAGCTGCGACCAGATACGAGATCCTCTTCGATGGTACAAGCTCGGGAATACAAACGTAGCCTCGGTAGATCGAGGCCCAAGCAAGTAGGACTCAGTAAGAGCAGTGGGCATATTGTCGACTTCGCAACAGAGGACAGCATCTCCCGAGTAATCTAGAATCCAAAGTGGACCAGGGTCAGGAAACTGTTCCAAGATAATTTCCCAGGGGTAGGTCAGGGCCAAGATATCCGCGAAAAGGCGACTGGCAGGCGTCTTTACCGCATCTCTTGTCCTACAGCCTCCTGCTGAATAATGGCGGACAGGCAACAAGGCGTCTCGAAGGGGCTCGCAAGGGGAGGTTTGACGTCGATGAAACGAACCAGGCCACCCGAAGCTACCGCGTAATCAATGAGTGTAGCCCTTCCTTGCAAGCTGCCACCTCGACATCAGAGGGGGGAAGCGCGCGTCCACGCGCATGCCGAGAGAACCCACAAAGACCCAGATCTTCCACCAGAATGTTGGAGTCACCCGCCAGCATCCAAGAGATAAACACAGTCCCAATGAATTCAGGAACAGCCCAAAGGCGTTTGATATTTGCTCCACTGACACCAAGGTCAGGAGCCACATACATCACACCAACAACGACGACAGCTCGCTAAACTTTCAACACAGGGAACCACAAATTTTGCCCATGGCCCAAGTCCTGGTCGCATTTCTCATGAACCACAAACTTCCTGAAGCAAAGATCTTTGGATACCACGAATCCGACACTTCTGTGGCCCCCTCCTCCAGGGGAGGGGAGGGCAGAGAAGAAATGCGGCCGCCAGCCGATTTAAGCAGCAGGGCGCTTTGCCTTTTTTGACTCCATCTGATCTCACATGTGTTTCAGGCACAACAGATCCATCAACGGCCTGCTAGCCTGACACAAAGCCAAGGCAACTTCGCTCCAAGACGTGATGTCACAAAACAAAAGAGAAGTCCTATCCTCGACCCGATGCTTGGCAGGGATGATGGCTAAATGCGTGACCCTTGCCCCGCGGTCCATGCAGCGGTCGCCCCACCTCCAGTTCCAGCTGCGCCGAGCGGCGGTGTAGGTGGGGCCGCAGCTGCGGGTGATGAAAAGCACGCTCGAACGACGCTGCAGCACCTTCACGCACAGAGTCGAGCCTCTGCATACATCTCCCTATGCGCTCGAGTTCCTTTCGAGCCAAGGCCGTGCCGATTCTCCGCTTCTAGAGAGCGTCGAGTTCCTGACAATGAAATTCCTCATTCTCTAGATCACTAGGAGCATCAGGCATAATGTCATCATCGACGTGGGCACGGAACTCGTCCAAACGGCCAATCTGGCACCCAGGACTGCTTCTCGGACAGCAACGACGATACCAGAACGGCTCCAGATGGCGCAAGACGGCTCAAGAGGCTCTCAAGCCAGGCTCAAGACGGTCCGAGAGCCCCCCAAGGCGGCCCACGAGGGCTCCAAGAGGCCCTCCAGGAGAGACCGAGAAGGGTAACACCATTGATTGTCTGTAGGTGTTTGAAGGTGTTTGAGGTTCTCGCTTATTTGGGTTTCTGACCGCCCAAGACGGCCCAATGGACCTCCAATCAAGCTCCAAGACTGCCCATGAGGCCCCCCAAAGGACCTTGAGTCGGCCCACGAGGGCCCCAAGATCGCCTAAGAGCCTCCCAAACGCCGCCCAAGAGGGCCCGAAGACTGCCCCACATCGCGCCAAGAGGCTACGAAGACTGCCCAGAGAGGCCCCCAAGAGGGCCTCCGAAGGCGTCAGACGGACCAATCGCTTCCCTAGACGGCCCAACAGGCCCCAAGAGGCCCCGAAGCAACACTCATCCTTCCCATCCTCATCACACTCCTCATCTACCCCTTGCGTGTTCCCAGAGCAGTCAAGCAAGATCCTCGGGCCTCACCTTCTCCGTGCAACTGCTCAGCATGGAGAGGATGCTCATGCACACGGCATGCACCTGACGGGTGATAGGGACGAGGAGGACAGAACACTGCAAGCACCCTCTCGTTCCAAGCCCCTGCCCCATTTGCCATTACCTTCCCATCACTGCGGCGGGAACAAGCTGTAATGTTGTGTGCGAACAGGGGAGCTGGTCCCCAGGCGTCTCCAGGAGGCACACAGGGCAAGAACGCAACAAGCAACGTCTCACCTTATCTGTGATATAACTTTTTCGAGAGAAGAAAACAGAACCTGGAGAAGTCATTAAGGACCCCCCCCGGGCTATCATTTGCACAACACCGTAATTGAATAATGCTGGGGGGCGGTGTTCGCCGAACGGTATCATAGATGATTAGCACCGCGCACATGGAACGAACAAGAATTAACCTGGCGAGATGCCCATACATATGCAGGTGTGGGTACCGCAATTGTGAATATCTTCTTCGGTGGCGCACCCAAATGGGGGCACGAAGCGCTGTACTGGGTGGGTGAAGCGCAGGGGGCAAGGGCCGTGTTGGGTGGGGGCCTTCCGTGGAGCTGCCTATGGTGCCACGAAGCATTGAATTGGGTGGGCGAAACGCAGGGAACAATGGCTGTTGTGGGTGGTGGCGGACGCATGCGGGCGGTGCCAATTGGACCTTCGGTGGAGCCCCCATGTGGGGCCACGAAGCGCTGTACTGGGTGGGTGAAACGCAGAGGGGGCAAGGGCTGTGCTGGGTGGTGGTGGACGCATGTTGGCGGTGCCACTGGGACCTTCGGTGGGACCGCCTTATGGGGCAACGAAACGTTGTTCTGGGTGGGTGAAACGAAGGGAGCAATGGCTGTGCTGGGTGGTGGCATACGCATGCGGGCGGTGCCACTGGGACCTTCGGTGGCCCCCCCTACTGGGCAACGAAACGTTGTACTCGGCGGGTGAAGCGCAGGGAACACGGGCTGTGCTGGGTGGTAGCAAACGCATGCGGGCGGTGCCACTGGGACTTTCGGTGCGGCCCCACATGGGGCCACGAAGCGCTGTACTGGGTGGGCGAAACGAAGGGAGCAATGGATGTACTGGGTGGTAGCGGGCGCATGCGGGCGGTGCCACTGGGACCTTCGGTGGAGCCCCCATATGGGGCCACGAAGCGCTGCACTGGGTGGGTGAAGCGCAGAAGGCCAGGGCTGTGCTGGGTGGTGGCGGACGCATGCTGGCGCTGCCACTGGGGCCTTCGGCGGGGCCCCCTTATGGGGCCACGGAGCGTTGTACTGGGTGGGTGAAGCGAAGGGAGCAATGACTGTACTGGCTGGGTGGTGGCGGGCGCACGCGGGCGGTGCCACTGGGACCTTCGGTGCGGCCCCACATGGGGCCACGAAGCGCTGCGTGGGTGAACCGCAAGGGGGGGGGGGGGGGGGCAAAGGCTGTGTTGGGTGGCGGACGCACGCGGGCGGTGCCAATGGGACCTTCGGTGGTGCACCCTGTGGGGCCACGAAACGCTATACTGGGTGGGTGAAACGCAGGGAGCAAGGGCTGTGCTGGGTGGTGGCGGACGCATGCGGGCGGTGGCATTGAAACGTTCGGTGGAGCCCCTTATGGGGCCACGAAGCGCTGTACTGGGTGGGCGGGACGAAGGGGGCAATAGCAAAGGCTGTGCTGGATGGGTGGTGGCGGACGCATACGGGCGGTGCCACTGGGACCTTCGGTGGAGCCCCCACATGGGGCCACGAAGCGCTGTACTGTGTGGGTGAAACACAGGGGGCAAAGTGTGTGTTGGGTGGTGGCGGACGCATGTGGGCGGTGCCAGTGGGACCTTCGGTGAAGCCCCCACATGGGACCACGAAACGCTGTAGTGGGTGGGCGAAACGCAAATAACAAGGGCCGTGTTGGGTGGTGGCGGGCGCATGCGGGCGGTGTAACGCAGGGAACAATGGCCGTGTTGGGTGGTGGCGGACGCATGCGGGCGGTGCCACTGACACCTTCCGTGGAGCTCCCTACGGGGCCACGAAACGCTGTACGGGGTGGGTGAACCGCAGGGAGCAAGGGCTGTGCTGGGTGGTGGCTGACGCATGCGGGCGGTCCCACTAGGGGCTTCGGTTGAGCTCGCTATGGGGCCACGAAGCGCTGTGCTGGATGGGTGAAACGCATGGAAGAAGGAGGAGGGAAGGGAGGAGGGGGAGGAGGAGGAGAGGAGAAGAGGAAAGGAACGCGGGGACCGTCTCTTCAGAACGAGGACCCAACAGCGCAGGATGATTGGAAAAATATGAATAATAGTCAGAACCACAAGGATACCATATTGCGAGACTGTCTCAGGCGATTCGCTTGTTTCGGCGAGCAGACTCGTTTGCGTTCACAGGTGCGATGTACCACGGTGACGCTTCTGGGGTGCTGGGTGCGTTATACTTTCGCCAGAGAGGAGGGAGTTCTTAATTGCTTCTTGAGGTTACCAATGACACGCTGCCGTTACTAGCCCGTCGACGTGTTGCTCTGTCGTCACCGCATCATGATAAGTTGTTCCCCACAGCGGCTAGACCATTGGTACTGTCTTTGATAATTGATCCCCGACGTCCTCAGACGGAGCAATCTGGCGCGCACGAGCCTGCGAGCCAGGTGGGTGGAGTCGGCGACGAGGGGCCAGCCGCAACGTGAACTCCCAATCCCGGGTCAGCGGAGGGAGGAGCGATCCCCCATGCAGCGATGATGGACTCGAAGAAACACTGCATGAGCAGAAACTTCTGGAGGGCCGCGCCGATTTGCTGGATCGGCGCTGGACCCCCAACCCTGATGCGAGGCGCAAGGGGGGTCCAGCAACGATCCGAGAAATCCGCGCGAAGCTCCCAATGTTCATGTTTACGCAATTCTCCTTTTTCGAATCGCTCCCGCCTCGGAGGCTCGCTCCCGCGTCAGAGGATTGCTGCCTGGGGCACCGCTGCCCGGGAGATCGCTCCCGCCTCGGAGGCGGAGAGTGCCAGCAAGGATCGGATGGGAATCGGCTAACTTCCGTCAGCGCAGGCCAACGTCACGTGCGACCCGAGGGGGTCGTCGGGAGTTGCTAGTGGTGGTCCTGGCCCTAGGTGTCCCCAGCTGTTCGCCCCAGCCTGGAGTCCCTGGGGCCCTCTGGGCCTTGCGAGAAGTCCTCTCGAAGCTACTCGGGCCTAGAAATACTGGGGACACCCTGGGCCAGGCACAACCTTAGCAACGCCCGAGGGGGCAGAGGGGATCCGCACTGGAGACGGCTAATAGGGGGGCTGAGGTGGCCCAGCTCTAGCTCTGGCCAGCGGACATGGGGGAGCAAGGGGGCCCCTCGACGCGACGGCTGGACGCAGCTCGGGAAACCGGTCCCGACCCCTAGGAGGGGTGTTGGGGGCCGATTGCAAGCGGGTTTGCCATCATCCTGCCCTCCTGATCGAAGTTATCTAGAGGCCTCCTACATGGGGTCCGGGTATAGTTAAGCGGGGTCGGACGATCGCGCCGCATCGTCGATGCATCGCCGATGCATCGCCAATGCATCGGCGATGCAGCGGCGACGTCGGCGATGCGTCGACGACTTCCATCTTTCGTGCCCCTCTTGCGGGCCCCAGGGAACTCCTTCAGGGCACCTGTGGGGCACAAAAGTCGGGGAGACGTAAGACCCGGGTACGGGGGACTCGGAAATCCCCGACGAGGTCGTCAAACAAATGACGAGGCCGAGCCTGCATTTTGACGAGGCCTCCCGCTGCAGACATCCCACGAAACTTCTCCTCGTCAAAAACCGAGGCGCGGTCGTCAAAAAACGATGGCGAACCCGAGTCCTGGCAAACCCGGGTCTTACGCTCCCCCGAAAAAGGTGCACCTTCCTCCACACAGTCGGTCATCGCCCCCCCGTGACGCAACGCTCGAGGCGCCCACGGCGGGGGAAGTCCGGGGCACCGCAGCCCTCCGCGCGCCGCGCGCCTGTGCCGTGGGCGACCTCGACACGAGCCCAGCCTGGACGCGCCGCGCGGCTCTCTTCGCGCCGTGGCGAGGGCAGCCTGCCACGCCACGGGCCACTCTGCCTGGACGGGGCGCGGCTCTGGCGGGGGCGGTCCTCCAGCTCGGGACGCGGCTCGCGGAGCGAGGTCATCCTCGCGCTGGTCGGTGCTCGGCCGCCCGCGCAGAGGAGCCCTGGCCTAGCACCACTCCTGGTCCGCCGCCGTGGCAGCAGCTCGGGCGAGTCCGAGAACTGCAGGTCCGCTGTGCCGTGCTTCGGAGCAGGGCGAGCTGAGACACCGGCAGCTCAGGATCGGCCCCCCGAGGTCCAAGCGCGCCAGCTGCCCGAGCCGCGCCCAGCCACGGTCCCGAGGGCGCGGGCCCCGTGGGACCGCGGCTGGGCCCGGCCCCTTCAGGGCCAGCTACAGTCGTCTCCGCTCGCCCTCGCCGGAATGCTGCCAAGGCTGGGGCCGACAGGCGGCGCCCGCGGGGCCCTGGTCAGTCCTCGACCGCCCGCGCAAATGCCACGGCCTGGCGCCGCTCGTGGTCCGCCGCCTCCAGCGGCAGCAGCTCGGGGAAGGCCGCGGACCTAAAGGCCGCCGGGATGGGGTCCGAGCAGATGGGGGTCGGAGGATCGCGCCGCATCGCCGATGCATCGGCGACACCGGCGATGCATCGGCGACGTCGGCGTGGAGGGAATCGGGCTTCGCATCGAGCCGCATCGCCGATGCTACGCCATTTGCCCACCCCGTCTGCTCCGACCCCATCTGGAAGGGCCACCCGGTGGCGCGCAGAGGGATGCAGGGGGGGAGGGGAAGGCTTCTGAGAAGGCGGCTGCTTGTTCGAAGGCGCGGGCTTTTCATCTACAGACCAGGCCCGCGCCGTCTAGGAAGCGGGGTGCTTGTAACAAGGGCTCCTAAGTTCGCGCTTCGCGCTGCGCGAAGCGCGAATAACTTCGCGCTCTCGCGCCGCCCCCCCAAAGGGAGAAGAGGAGGACGAGGAGGAGGGGGAGGAGGAACGAGGACCGCGAAGCGCGAAGCGCGAATAACTTCGCGCCCTCGAGGGAGCCCTTGTTGTAACAAGCCTTCCCCGCCACCCCCGGGCCCCTTTGTGCGTGGCCGAGCTCTGGGACCGCAGGTCCGCAGGGTCGGTGGCGTGGTCGACGATGAGGACGCCGTTCAGGTGGTCCAGCTCGTGCTGCAATGCGCGCGCGGCCTCCCCGCGGAGCGGCCGCGAGAAAGGTCGCCCGCCGAGGTCCTGGGCCGCGACAGTGACCCCGCGGTGCGGGGGGGTCGTCCGTCCGACCACTTCGCCGCTCCAGGCCTGGCCCTTCCTGTGTCCAGGATCGGTGTCAAACCCAGCCATGCGACGTCTTGAGTGTTTCGATCTCTTTGCCTCAGGGCCTGTTTTTCATCCCGAATCGTTTTGTGAAGGTCCCCAGGCCCAGCGAGGGCCCCCAGAAGCAAACAAAAAAACAGCCGAGAGCCTCCCGTCGAGATTTTGGCTCGACGCGCGCATGTCTGGGAACCGTAGGTTCGTGCGGCGCCTGAGCGCGCAAAGGCTTTTGACACCGCGTCGATGGTTCAACCTTGAAACGATCGCCTCCCCCGATCGTTCAAGGTTGAATCCAATCGGGTCCAGTGGCGTTACCGTCCATCGGTGCTTCCGCGTCGAAGAATTCAACCTTGAACGCCTTCGCCGGTGTTGCCGGCGAGTCAACGCCGCGTGAACCTACCGTACGCCACCCTTGAGGGCGTGCACAGCCGTCCTGGGCGAGGGATGGGCCCGGCCAAGATCGGCGAGGTGGCCCGAATGACGTGCCCCCCGAGCTGTCTCGCATCAGCGTCACCAGCACGTCGTCGGGAAGCACCAGACAGCGCTCCCGCCACCACCTCATGTCGTCCTCGGGGGTCCTGGAGACGATCCGCGGGTTAACCAGCACGGGCGGGGTTCCTGGAGGGACAGCCAACGACAGCAACAACAGCTTCCGCGGCTCAGCGCGGATTTCTTGGATCGGCGTTAGGCCCCCTCCCTGGCGGCGTCTCAGGCGCAGCCCCTGCCAGCTGAGGCACGCCAGCGAGGCGAATTTCAGCGCTGACCAACAGAAACCTGAGCGGACCTCATAAGATGAATGTTTATGTTGGTTTTGTTGTTCTCGGGTGTTGGTAGACGTCGGGGAAACACACGGGGGGGGGCATCTAGGGGCTATCTGGGGCCACTTTCATGTAATCCTCGACCCGACAAACATATATTGCCCCCCTCCGTTTCCGCCCGCCCGCTCTTCTCCGGGGCCCCAAACCCTGGAGGTCCCTGTCACCCGAGAGTTTCGCGGTGACCCCAAATCCCCACCGACTCACCACGCGGTTTGGTCACCACACCGCTTGGGCCCCCCCGCTTCTTCTTCGGGCTCCAGCGTCAAGGACGCCCGGATCCAGCACGATGACGCGGGCGTCCACCCCCACCTGAGCGACGCAAAGAAACTTGACGCGAGAAAGCATAGCGACCTTACGCCGCGGCTTACTTGGGCCGCCAATGCGGCACGCCACACTGGAGACGAGGGCGCTCACGCGCGGCCGTACGCGGGCAGCGTAGTTACGCGCGAAGGTCGGCGCAGTCGACCCTGTTTTCTTCCGTCGCTCACCTGGCTCGCGGCGAGGCCCAGCCAGCGCGTCACACCACGCGGAGAGACGGGTGCTCACGCGCGGCCGCATGCGGGCAGCTTGCGTGCCAGTGTCGGCGCAGTCGACCTCGCTTCCTTCCCTCGCTCGCCTGGCTCGCGGCGAGGCCCACGGCCCCCTCGGCCCGCGCGGCGCTGGCCAGCGCCCCCACCAGCAGCCGCAGGTCGCTGCCGAAGGCCGCCACAGGCGCCGCGCTCCTCCGGAGCACCGGGTCCGGGTACCGCCCCATCTCGAGGCGCCGCTCGGCGCCCCCCCGCAGCCAGCCCGCCGCCTCCTCCAGGGAGCGCCAGGGCAGCCGCGTCCCGGCCCAACGGCTGGTGCCGGCGCCCGCTTCGGCCCGCGCGGGGCGGGCCGATGCTGGAAGGGGAAGAAGCACGGCGTGAGCGCAGACTTTGGGAGGTCCGCGCGGGCGTCCTGGATCTGCGCTGGGTCCCTCCCCCGAGGCGAGGCGGGCGGAGCACGCCCGGGGCGGCGCCGGAGGCGCCGCCAGGGGGGGCCCAGCGCACGAGGCAAGAAGCCCGCGCGGAGCTCCGGACACTTTCGAGCAGGGGATCGACCGCAGGATTGCTTTACCCCAAACTTGTGCGCCAGGCCGCGCTTCTTTTCCTTCGAGATGCCCGCAGAAGGCAGTCCAGCGCCAGGGCCGCGCAGAGGCGGCGGGGCAGCGCAGCAGCCTCCGCGCGCGCGGGCCGCCGCTGGCGGCGCCCCCGCCCCGCCCCGGACGCGAGGGCTGCCGCGGCGGCGCACTGCGCGCCGGCGGCCGCGGCGTCGGCTGTCGCAGGCCGCCGACGCCTCGGCGGCGGCCGCCGCCGTGCGGCTTGGTTGCTGAGGCTGGCACGATCCCAGACATCCGACGGTATGAGTTCTGAGGGCGGCGTGCACAGAGGGGGAGAGCGAGCGGGGAAGGCTTCTCAGCAGGAGGCCGCTGCTTGGGAGGCGCGGGCCTCACATCTACACACAAGGCCCGCGCCGTGTGAGAAGCAGGGGTGACTCTTAAACGCATTCCCCCCAATCCACCTACCCCCTTCTGCGCGCAGCCGATCGGCAACCGCCGCCGTGGGGTGTGGTGGCTGAGGCTGGCGCGATCCCAGACATCCGACGGCCTGGTTTGTTTACGAGAACGGCATCCGTGCACCGTGTAGTACTACGCCTGGACTCATTTCGGGCCCCGCTCCAACGCGGTGCGGTGCACATTGGTTCGACTCTACAGGGGTCCAGAACCGGATCTGCTTTTGATGCCCCCAGAGGCCGAATTCGAGGAAAGACGCCAGGATGGTTCATTGCGCGGCCCCAGAGGCCCTGACGGAGATGAAGCCATGGCGGGGACAAGATCGGACCAGGACAGATCGAGAATCTCCAAGATCTGGCGGTTCTTGAGGATGCATCGGGCGCCGCGGCCGTTCCAGAGAGCTCAGGAACGCTCTGAGAGCGATGTTCTACTGTCATCACAGCCCTGCCCGGCCGACCACTTCCGCGGGGCAAGCTTGCCGCCCGGGGTCCGTCCCGTATGGCCCCAGGGGCCCAAGGACCTGCCCCTGGGGCCCAAGTCGAGGAAACTCTCCCTTACTTGAAAACTCAGATCGTCGGAGATCTATAGGAACATTTGCATAAACATAATGTATCAGTCCTCACGGATTCCTTGGATCGGCGACCCTCCATGGCGCGCGGAGCGAGCCGTGGGCGGCGCCAGAGGTGCCACCAGGGGGGCCCAAGCGCCGACCTGAACAGGTCGCGCGGAGCTCTAAACATTCATGTTCATGCAACTTTTCCGTCTTCGGCGGCGGGCGAGGGGGCGCAGTGAGAAGGCGAAGGGCTTCTCAGAAGGCTGCGCGGCTTCTCAGGAGGCCTCGGGCCTTCTGAGCGTCTTCTTTTTCTGTGCGTCGTCGGGAAGGCCCAGAAAACTTACAACCTCTCTCGTCAGGCTGGAGAGCTCCCTTCTGAGAAGCCCCGCCCCTCCTCACCGCCCCCCGTCGGGCTCGCCGCCGAGTCTTCGGCCCGAGGTCGGCGCGGTCGAGGGCGCGGCGGGGCGCGGCGGGGCCCCACAGCGCGGCGGCGGGCAGCGCCGCGGCCGCCGCGACGGCGGCCATCGCGGCGACCGCGGCGGGCCGCTCGCGCCGCGACGGCGGGCCGCCTCGGGCGCGGCTCGGGCTCGGGCGGTTTCGGGAGGGGCGGGGCACTGCAGGGGCCCAGGGGGGCTCAAGCAGAATCGGCACACAATCCTGGATTCCCCATACTGTTCCACACGTGATCGATGATCAAAAACGGGTCTTACGCGAGATGACGCAGCGACCTTACGCGGTGGCTTACGCGGGCCGCCAGCGCGTTACGCTACGCTGGAAGCGAGGGCGCTTACGCGAGGGCGCTTACGCGAGCAGCGTACGCGCCAATGTCGGCGCAGACGACCCCGTTTCTTGTGTCGCTCTCGTGTCGGGCGTTCCTCTTCGCCTCCATGTCCCATAGTTTTTCTTCAGATCTCCATGTAAGTCGGCGCTCTTGCGCCTGTGCTTGTGCCGAGGGCCCCTCCCGAGGCACGAGGGCTTTTACGAGCGAACGAGCGCCCGCCGTCGCCCAATGGCGGTCCAGAGCGGGGCACCGGGCTGTGCGCAGGTAGCGCGCTGGCCCTCGCATGGAGGGACGAGATGCCAGAACAAGGACTCAGGTGTTCGCGAAATAGATCAGGCTTTTGAACAGTCCTGGGACGAAACAGCAGGAGAACGAAGAATGGCATAAACATAAAAACTCGGAGGCCCGCGCAAGTTTCTTGGATCCGCGCTGGAACCCCCTGGCGGCACCTCCGGCGCCGCCCCTTGCGCGCTCCGCGCGCCAGGGAGGGGGCTCCAGCGCCGATCCGAGAAATCCGCGCGGACCTCCGAGTTGTGATGTTTCTGCCTTTCTGGGACCCCCAACAAAGACATACTAGTACGATGTGTCCTCCTTGGAGGCGTGAATGGTTGCCCCGACGGTTGTTCCGATGGTTGTCCCAACGGTTGTCCCGATGGTTGTTCCAGCAGTTGTCCCGATGGTTGTCTCGATTGTTGTCCCGAAGGTTGTCCCGATGGTTGCCCCGATAGATCGATCGATAGACAGATGTTGTTAGATGTTGTCCCGATGGTTGTCCCGATGGTAGTTCTGGTGGTTGATATATATATATATATATATATATATATATATATATATAGATAGATATATGGATATATATACACACAGGTAGAAATATAGAAAGTTATACAACAATTAAAACGAGAAGAATATACATATATACGACAACAACATATATACCTATGCATTCGATGTGGATTGACATTTCCATGCACATATATATATATATATGTATATATATACCAATCTACACACACATATCTTTTTAGATACATATATAGATGCTCTCCGGGCCTTCCTTTGGAGTCCTGTGGGGCCTTTGTTGGCCCGTCAGAGGGGCCATTTCGGCCGTTCGGGGTCCCTCGTGGCTCGTCGTGGGAAGTTCAACCCGTCTTGGGGCCCTCCTGGGGCCCTCTCCGACCATGTAGGAATCCTCTGGTGGCCCCCTCGGGCTTCTTGGGGGCTCTTGGGCCGTCTTGTAGCTCCTCTGCTGTGCCGCCTGAAGCTCTGTTCAGCCCATCTTGGAACCCTCTTTGTGGCCTCTGGGGCCGTCTGGGGCCCAATTTGGTAACCTCTTGGTAACTGAGAAGCGAAGCTCCCAGAACCATACGTATATCCATGGAAATGCTCGATTTTGCCCTTTGGACGGCCTTCTCAGCGGCCTCTTGGACAGTCGTGGGGGGTCCTTTTGGGCCTTTTTAGTGGCCCGTCTGGGAGCCCATTTCGGCTGTCCCAAACACCTCTTGGCATCTCATGGGTAGCTGAGCCGCCTTGGGGCCCTCATGGAGCCCTCTCCGACCATGTAGGGATCCTCTGGTGGCTCCCTCGGGCCCCCTGGGGACTCTCTCGGGCTGTTTTGGAACTCTCTTGTGCTGCTCGACGCTCTCTTGAGGCTGCCTTGGAGCCCTGTTTGGGGCCTCGTGGACCGTGTGGCGCCGATTTGGGCAGCCTTTGGGGCCGACGTGGTCGCCGATGGAACATAGAAGCGAATATCATAGAAATTACGTTTTTCCATTGGAAATGCTAGTTTTATCCACCTGGGAGCCTTCTCAGCGGCCTCCTGGATCTTCTTCAGAGAGTCCTGGTAGGCTTTTTTGGGACCCTCTGGGAGCCCAATTCGGCCGGTCTGGGTCCCTCTTCGCCCGTCATGGGGACCCGAGCCCGTCTTGGGACCCTCGGGGGGCCCTCTCCGACCATGTAGGGATCCTCCGGTGGCTCCATCGGGGTTCCTGGGTACTCTCTTGGGCTGTGTTGGAGCTCGCTTGTGCTGCTTGAAGCCTCCCCCGTCCCCCCCAAACCTCCTTAGCACCCGTAGGGTGGTCCTATCGGTAAGTATGTTTGGTGAAAACGAAGTCACGTGCCCGTGTCGATGCTGGGGTTGATGGCCGCATGCAGGCACTCATGCAGGGGCAGCGCCAATGAAACCCGCCAATTGCAAGAAATCTTGGTTGCTGAGCGGCCACCCCACAGCGCGCTCGTCTATTGACGATACCTCTACACGATTAGATGCCTCCTAGATGGGGTCGGAGTAGATGGGGTCGGAAGATCGCACCGCATCGCTCATTCATCGGCGCTGCATCGGCGACGTTGACGTGAAGCAAATCGGGCTGCACATCCAGCCGCATCGGCTATGCATCGGCGATGCGGCGCGATCCTCCGACCCCATCTATTCCGACCCCATCTGGGAGGCCTGGAATGACGTAGTGTAGCACCGAGAGGAAACGTACGGGGGACCAAAAAATCCGCCTGGTCCTGGGCAATTTTGTGCCATTGGCTCGAACCCCTCTCGGCGATTAAAAGGCAGGATTCACTGCAACCCCTCATGAGCCTATCCACCCCTCATGTTGCCCCTGAATTATGCACATGGGAATTTCGGAACTGCTCCAGAACTTCTTCGTACCATTACGAGGTCCAACTGCCGGAGTCCAAGAGAAAGCTTCAACCGGATGTCTTGGATCGGCGCTGGATCCTCCTCCCTGGCGCGCAGAGCGCGCCGTGGACGGCGCCAGATGCGCCGACGGAGGGGGGCCAACGCCGAGATCCGCGCGGATATGTGAACCGTGTTGTTTATGTAACTATCATCTTCGACGAGACCCTCGCGATAAGTCGGGCAAGGGGAACTTGGTCGAAATGCAATAGCGGCAACTGGACTGATGATCCAGACCAGACCACAAGAACGCCGATCATGGCCCCGCCAGCCCGCTGGTGTGCTGGACCCATGGAAGGTCGAAGATAACGTTTCTTCTCATCCCCATCATCACCCCGCTCCTTCCCATCATATGGCCTCGTCCCGTCTCATCATCCTCGTCCTCTCCATCCTCACCTCCTCTTCCTCCGCCTCCTACTCCTCGTCGCCCCCTCATCATCCTCATGGATCCTCTCCAGAACAGGGTGGACGACGAGAAAGGGGAGGATCGACTGTAGCTGCGGGCGCAGCCAAATCTCTCGATGAGCCAAGCAGTCAGTCGCGAACAAGGCGTGTTGTTTGACCCACCAGCGACCAATGCTAGCCGCATCACAGGATTGGGTTGGGGCGGTGGCTTCGTCAGAAGATGAATAACAATATGCTATGAAAGCGGCCGCGAGGAAGAGGAGGCTGAGGGGGAGGAGCCAGCAGGGATGTGGAATGATGGAAGGTAAAAGCGAGGGAGGCAGAAAAGAGGGGATTCGGAGTAGAACAAGGGAGATTAAAGGGATGAGGAATGGCAAAACACAACGAGGATGAGCAAGAAGAGAAAGAGAAATGGAATGGGCATGTGTCAAAAGACGAGCAACTGACTGGTTATCGGGTGTTCGGGATTGACTGCCGGCGCACCGATAACGCGGGGCTCCACCTGTCGTAAAGAATGTTCAGGCAAATGTGCCTGCAGCCAAGATGAGGAAGATGATAAGGGAGAAGAAGAAACGGAGGAAGACGGGGGCACGAGGAGGACGATGACGAAGCGGAGGAGGGGAAGAACAACGAGGATGATCAGGACCACGGGGACGGTGCGGATGTGAAAGGGGGCAGGCAAGAGGATGACGATGACGAGGACATGAAAAAGTAAGAAGAACAGAGGATGAAGGGAAAGAGAATGGAGGACGGGAAAGAGGACGAGGACGACAACGAGGATGATGAGCACGGGGAAGGGGAGGAAGAGGACGGCGACAGGGTGAAGGAAGGCAGGCGGAGGACGAGGGTGAGTAAGAAAGAGCAGGAGGCTAGCGAGGAGCACTTTGCAAAGGGCTTTCAAGACCAGAAAGGACCGTTTCCGGCCTTCCACATGGAACACATGCACGGCCAATAGATCACACGCTGGGGATGATCAGGGCAAGGAGAAGGGAGAAGGAGGGAAAGGGGGGAATTGGGAGCAGGAAGAGACGGCAGGAAAGAGCGAGGGGCATCTATCCCCACCAATCCTGCTCCCGCCTTCTCCATCGCCTTCCCCGCCGCCCCGCCCCCCTTCCCGACTCCTCACCCTCATCCTTGCCCTCTTGTTGCTCGTCCGACAACGGCTGCCTCGTCCTCCTCGTCATCGCTTGCGCTCCCAAGAACCCCGACGACATGATCTTTTCCAATGCGCGCCCCCAGAATGGTCCCGACCCCCTTTCCACCGCGGAATGACTCATGACGAGCCCCAGATGCCAGAATCGATCAAAAATGCCAGGATTGAAATACTCATATGGTCAAGAATGGTTGCTCAGCATGTCGTGGCGGTGGCCCCAGAGACACGCTGCGCATTCCAAGGGGCTGGCGTGTCGTTCCGCTTCGCGGGGCGGAAGGCCGGGAAAGACTCGTGACGTGGACGCCTTGGGACCCGGCAATGGTTAGACTACCTACCAAAGCACTCCAACCTAACCCCGAAGACTTACGTTTCGGGTTTGGGGGGGTGCGGGTTCCACATGTTTTTTCTATGTTCCCCGGCCCCTCCCGAACTGAAAATCGAAGGTATACTTGGGCCTTCGGGTTGGGCTGGGGTGGTTGGGTGGGTGGTGATGGGCAGCGTGCCGCACCGAGGCGGCGCGGTGGGCCAGAGCCCGCGGCACGACACGCTGTGGGGAAGCCAGCGGTTATCTGCATGCTCCGAGCGTGCTGCCGCCGCCCGTGGCCTCTCCCTTCTCCCCCCTCCGCGTCGCCTTCCCCTTCCCTCGGTGCCCAGTTCGCTTGCCGTGGCATGCCCCCTGGACCTTTCCGGTGGTGCGCCCCGGCCAGAGCTTCGAAGCGCATCCCGCCGTGGCGACCCAGGGCCCCCTCGCAGGCCCCGAAAAGACGAAGAGGCAGGCAGGGGTGTGGATAGTCAGGGTGCAGGGGCCGAACGGTCATTCGCTGTCCCTGGGTGTTTGTTTGAAGTGGGCTTCCGCGGTGCAGATTGTTGTTGTTGCTGTCGTCGTCGTTGTTGTAATCGTCAGGTTGTCATGCTGTTGTTGCTGTTGCTGTTGCTGTTGTTGCTGGGGTGGTTGTTGTTGTTGTTGGTGCTGATGTTGTTGTTGTTGATGTTGTTGATGTTGATGTTGATGTTGTTGTTGTTGTTGGTGTTGTTGTTCTTGTTGTTGTTGTTGTTGTTGTTGTTGTTGTTGTTGTTGTTGTTGTTGTTGTTGTTGTTGTTGTTATTATGTTGTGTTGTTGTTTGGTGTTTGGAGTTTGTTGTCGTTGCTGCTGCTGTTGTTGTTAATGTGGCTGTGGTTGTTGAATACTCATGTTTGAAATAAGAGTGGTTGTTGATCTCTGGAAGCAAATTTACGCGCTCTCGCCTCGATACCGGCTGCAATTCCGCTGAAAACGTGGCTCGCGCTCAAGCGTGGGCTTGATTGTAAATGTGTCCTTGGAGCCCCAGCTATAACGACAACGGCTCCCGCTCGATACTTCCTCACAAGTTACCCCGAAACACCCTGGCCAGAGAGGCCCCCGGACTCAGGAACGGCGCTCTCGCTCGAGACATCCTCGCAATCCAATCAAATTGGCGGATTCCCAGCCAGGACGACAAGGGTTCCTGCTCGACATACTCTCGCGATTTACTCCGAGAGCCCTTGGCCAGGAAGGCTCCCGAACTCAGGAACTGCGCTCTTGCTCGAGACGTTTTCGTGATTCAATCAAATTGGTGGAGGCCCAACTAGGACGGCAAGGGTTCTCGTTCGATATACTTCCTCGAAATGTATTCGCCGAGACCCCCACAAGAGAGGCACCCGAACTCAAAAATGGCGCTCTCGCTCGAGAATTTCTCGCAATTCAAGCAAGCTGGTGGAAGCAAGGACACTGCGACAACGGTTCCCGTGCGATATTATTCAATCTGTTGTCCGAGAGCCCCTGGCAAGAGAGGCCCCCGAACTCCAAAAAACGCTCTCGCTCGAGAGTTTGCCGCACTTCGGTCAGTGGCCGACAAGGAAGATATTCCCCCCCAGAAAGGGGAAGCGATCGAAGACGAAGCGGGTGGGTACCGAGGGTTGGGGTATACAAAGCAAAAATGTAAAACACGCGTGCCAGTAAGAGCGAACGGTCTTAAACTGATTGAACTATCCCTTCTGAAGAATGTTATTGTTGACCCCCCCGCCCGGTGCACATCGCAGTTCTTTTCAATTGAAATGCCACCCACGGGGGCTCGCACCCTGTTTCTAATCAGGGAAAGTCTTGAAGGACAAACTGTGTCGTTGGCCTCCGGTTTACAGCAACAACTGCTCCCGCCTGATACTTCCTCAAAATGTATTGAAGAATCGCGATCTCGCTTGGAACTTCCGAGCAATTGTTCACCGAATCGCGGCCCCCGCTTGATAATTCTTGACAATCTTTTGCCGAATCGCGTTTTTGCTTGGGACTTCCTCGCAACTTACCACCGGACCGCTTCGCTTGAAATTTCCCCAGGTTTTATCCAGATGCTGGTCCTCGTCGAAACTCAGGAACCGCGCCCCCGCTACATATTGCCTGGTGGTTCAAGCAAGACTCACGCTTCAACGACACGCCCGCTCGACCCGCTCGTCGGGGCCTGCCCGCCCGCCCAGCCCGTTAATGACTGCAGTCGCCGCTCGCTGCCCTTTCGCCCGCCTCCGATGCCCCTCGCTGCCCGTACTGGTTCCGCGGTCGCCTTCGCTCGCTGCCCTTCGTGGCCCCGTTGCTGCTCTCAGTGGCTCCATCGCTGCCATTTGTGGCCCCGCATTAGGTGCCCTTCTTGGCACCCGCTCGCACGCGCCCGTCGTGGCTCCATACGCATGCCCTTCGATGCCCCGCTGTCGCTCTTCGTGGCCCCCTCGCTGCCCTTCGTGGCCCCTTTGCTGCCCGTAGTGGCCCCGCTGTCGCGTATACGAATGCCCTTCGTGGCCCCCGCTCGCTCGCGCCCGTCGTGGCCCCATATGCATGCCCTTCGTGGCCAGGCTGTCGCCCTTCGTGGCCCCTTCACTGCCCCTTTGCTGCCCTCAGCGGCCCCGTCACTGCCATCTGTGGCCTCCGATGTTATGCCCTTCGTGGCCCCCGCTCGCTCGCGCCCTTTGTGGCCCCGCTGCTGCCCTTCGTGGCCCCGCTGTCGCCCTTCGTGGCCCCTTCGCTGCCCTTCGTGGCCCCTTGTCTGCCCTCATTGGCCCCGCTGTTGCACTTTCTGGCCCCATCTATGTATCTCCTTCGTGGCCCCCGCTCGTTCGCGCCCGTCGTGGCCCCATATGCATGCCTTCCGTGGCCCCGCTGTCGCCGTTCGTGGCCCCCTTCGCTGCCCTTCGTGGCCCCGTTGCTGCCCTCAGTGGCCCCGCCGTCGCCCTCTGCGGCCCCACATGCGTATGCCTTTCGTGGCCCCCGCTCGTTCGTGCCCGTCATGGCCCCATATGCATGCCCTTCGTGGCCCCATTGCTTCCCTTCGTCGCCCTGCTTGCCATTTGTGGCCCCCTCGCTGCCCTTCGTGGCCCCGTTGCTGCCCACAGTGGCCCCGCTGTCGCCCTTTCTGGCCCCACTCGTCGCTCGTTCGCGCCCGTCGTGGTCCCCTCGCTGCCCTTCGTGGTCCTGTTGTCGCCGTGTGCGGCCCTCTCGTTGCCCTTCGTGGCCCCGTCGCTGCCCTCTGTGGCCCCGTCTACGCATGCCCTTCGCGGCCCCCGCTCGTTCGCGCCCTTCGTGTCCCCATTGCTGCCCTCAGTGGCCCCGCTGCTGCTTTTCATGGTCCCTTCGCTGCACTTCGTGGCCCCGCTGTCCTTCGTGGCCCCTTCGCTGCCATTCGTGGCCCCGTTGCTGCCCTCAGTGGCCCCCTCGCTGCCCCTTGTGCTCCACTGTGCCCTCCGTTGCCAATTTGCTCCACCTGGCGCTTGAGCTGCCTTCCTCGCCCCATCGCGGCGCTCGCGCCATGGTTGCACGTCGTGGCCCCGCTGCTGCCCTTCGTGGCCTTAGTTCTGCCCTTCCTGGCTCCGACTCGCTCCTGCTCTCAGTGGCTTCCTCGCTGGCCGTCGTGACCTTATGTTGCCTTCCGCGGCGCTCGCTCGCTCCTGCGCTCACTGGCCCCATCGACATCTTCGGCGCGTTTCAAAGATCCAATACTATCGCAAAGGAGGTCGCGTAGCGGACAAGCGGGTCCGGCGGTTGATAGAAATGATGCTACGGCAGGTTCGTGTCGTGCCGACCCCAGCGTTGGTTTCTGACACCGCAGGGATCATTCAACCTTGAACGATCGGCCGCTGCCGCAACGTCCAATCGTTCCACATAGAACGATTCTCGGTCGCCGTCGGCGTTCAACCTTGAACGTCGGCGGCGGGGTCGCCGCCGGTCGACACGACGCAAACCTACCGTAGCCGGGTCCTCTCAAGTCGACTTGTTGGCCCTCCTTGTCTGGTCGCGCGAATCCAGATGGCTGCCGAACTCTCGGCGCGCATCCTGGGCCAGCCTTGCAGCTGGCTGTCTACCACCACGGGGCAGCGCGGG